AGCACCCCACAACCATGTCCGGCTTGCTTTGTAGGAGGAACATCATGCTTTAAGAAAGGCCTCCTCGGTGCTGCTGAGAGGACTCAGCGGTTAAGGTACTGCGCTTGCAGGGGACTCAGTTCTCACCATCCATGTGAGGAGCTCCACAACTACCTGTGACTCAGCTCTAGGGGATCTGACACCCTCTTCTGGTTTCCATAGGAACCTGCAAGTACATGCAATACCCCTCACACACATACGTATAATTAAAACAATCATTTCTTATGAAAAAGAAATATTTGACTGGTTAGCTGTTATCATAATGGTGCAGTAAAAGAGGATGGTTCTGAATTTTGGCCTCCGGATGGACTTCAAGGGTATAAAAATGGCAGGCAATTTGCATGTCTGCTTGTATGTGTGTACGCATACACATATATGTGTGAGTGTGTTTTTGGATGCACATTAATTGAAGTTGAGAGTTTATAACTTGGAAAGAACTCTCTGGAAGGTTAAGATTCTGTCCTGGAGGGCAGCCACCTTTGCCCTGTCTTCCCTTCTGGCACCAAGGCTCTGCTATCTCTTTCCTTCTCCACGTTTTTAGCCAGTGTTTAAAATCAGAGTTATAACAATTACTTGCACCCTTCCAGGAGTACTAACGAAATCCTGAGCTGGCTTGAACCTGTCTCCCTCTTTCTGCTGGTATTGATGATGCTCGATTCATAAGGCAAAGTGTGCACTGTTCGTTCCATGGGCCTTGATTTCCCAGGGGGCCAAGCAGCCTCACGGGAGACCATACTCAGTGTTTAGGACTCTAACTCAGTGGTGCAACCCAGGCTCAGCCTTCTTCATCCACTTAATGCAGTGATGAGTTAGTTTTAAAATATTAGGCTGCTGGATGAAGGGAAAGGAGTGAGAGGTTGGAGAGCAGAATGGCCAAGCCCATTGCATGCCTGGATGAGAGTCATAATGAAACACTTTAGTTTTCACAATCAACACACACTAGCAAAAACTGAAAAAAGGCTGAACAAGGAGGGGGGCATTTCACAGCCTAACAGATAGATTACTCCTGGATGATCCAGAAATAATACAGATTTGGGGAAGAAAATGAAATCCTAATCATTTTTATACTCAGAAAGAATGATCTCTTGATTATAGACTCAACAACACATTCTTGTTTGTTGAATGAAAGGATATGGCAGTTGACTAATGAAGAAAAGAAAGGACTACCGGCCTGACTAGTGACTTCTATCTGCAATTCCAGCACTTAGAAGGCTGAGGCGGGAAGATCAGGATTAAGGGTCATCCTGGGCTTCAGGATGAGACTCCGTGCTGATCAAAACCAACCAAGTCAAAACAAAACACAAAGCAAAGAAACCTTTGCTCATGTGCGTTAAAGCAGTTCATGTGTTGCAGCCTAGAATCAAACCCATTTGAAAATAACAAGAAACTCATAATCTATAAAGATGTCTCTGAAGCATAAATATATTGTCCAAAGCCAAATCCGTGAAAAGAATGATGTTCTCTTATGTCTCTTGGTAAGGTCTAGTGTCACAGAGAGCAACTGAATTCCTCCATCACCTTCTCTCTGTTGCATTGACAATAACAGATGCCATACAGTGCCTGGGAAATGTCAGCAGATACTCAAGATGAGAGAGTAGAGGGAGCTTGGTGCCTGGGACCTGCATGGTGTAGGAAGAGAACTGACTCCCCCAATTGAGCTATGGCATGCATTCCTGTGCTCCTCCACAGACAGACAAATAAAATAGTTTTGCTCTCACAGACAACCCACAGGACTTCGTTAGTCCCATACAAAGCTGCTAAGGCTAGAATCTGCACTGGTGCTGCAATTTAGGGAGATTCAGGAGGTGGAAATTCATAGACTACTGGATGAAGTGTGAGGAAGGGCAGATTTAAAGGGAAAATATGAAATAAATGGAGAAATGAGAAAACAATAGTGGCAGATGCCTTATAAGTACAAGATGGAAGCTCTATAGAAGCCAGGTTAAAAAAGCTGGGAAGCCCCATGCAAACGAAACAGGAACACATTGTTACACATTGTTATTAGCTCTCCAAAGCTCTCAAGACTTAAGCTCTCATTTCCTAAGCCTAACTGTCCTGCAAACCGTGTTTTGCAACTTGTGCTGAACTTGCAACCCAGCCCTCTGCCTTGTAACCCCTGTGACTATACCCAGTCCTCTGCCTTGCTAAACCTCTGAGCACATGTGATGGCTCCCCTTCCACAAGCTGGACTCTTGCACTTATCTCCCCCACAGGCAGCCTTGAGCCCCGAGCCCCCACTCCTCTGTCCAGGTGCTAAGTGCCAGTTTCCTCAACAGCTGTTTTCTATCACCCTAACCCTTCCCCATAAACGGGACCTCAAAAGCCAGCGAGGGGCTGCTCCCTGAAACCCCGACTTAGGAGGGTGGTCGCCTGGCCAGTCCCTGTGCCCTCTAAATACAGCTTGCTCTAATCAGAGAGTCATGGAAATAGCTTCCCCCCTCAGGCCTAAGAATAGCCCCAGCATTGAAGAAGAAAGGACAGACAGACCCCCTGGGGGGGGACTTGTCATCAGTCTATCCTATGTATAAATTTCCAGGCCAGGAACAGTCCCTGTTTCAGAAAAAAGGTGGACTGCATCTAAGGAATGACGTCCACGATTGTCTTCCGGCCTCGACATATTTGTCTTTGTGCACATCCACCCCTACACGTGGGGACAGGCACATATGCATACACACGCAAAACATGAAAATACATATTTAATTAAATTTTTTTTTTGGATAGCAAGTGGAGAACTGAAATGAATTTCAGATCATTCCTGAGTAGTAATTCTAAAAGGAAACACGATATTGGGACCCTCCAATCAAGGTGCCTTCAATGCGATAATCCGCTAACACCAGGCTGGCTGATTGGCAGATGTGCTGGCGACGTAAAGATAACAAGACTCAAGCAGGAAGAACTATAGTTTGGACCAGTGCCTTCTCCACCCTCCTAGTGCTGAGACCCTTTTGTACGGTTCCTCGTGTTGTGGTGACCTCCACCCTTAAAATTATTTTCGTTGCTACTTCATGACTGTAATTTGGCTGCTGTTGGGAATTGTAAAGGTGAGATGCAGGATATCTGATATTTGACTTCTGTGAAAGAGTAGTTTGACCCCCAAAGGGGTCGTGACCCAGAGATTGAGAACTGCTGGCTTAGACGCCACAACCCACCGAATACAGTTAATGAAGCTAGCGCCGCAGATATGAACACGACACCACGGGGCACTTTCAGAGAAGAAATTCTGAAATGCTCTGTGATCCCGAGGAGATCCTGGGTAGAGATTTCCCCAAATCTGACAGTAATCCTACCTATTTATGAAGCATTAAAATAACAAGCCAGGCTACTTACTGCCGTGTTTCTAAACTTCAGCTGCTTTAAAAAGGAAATTATGATTAACCACGGGAGAGGGAAGAACTGAGCTACAATAAGAATCCACTAACGTGGCAGGGCCAGCCGGGGGGCACTCAATGGTTTATGCAAATCAAGGTGAAGGGTGCCAGGAATCCTGGGATACAGCTATTTAAAATCATGCTGGATACTGACAAGGTAGCTCAGTGGGTAAGGCTGCTGGCCGCACAGCATGAGGGAGTGGGCTCCAACCCCTGAAGCCCAGGTGAGTGTAACAGGGCTGCACACACTTGTAACCCAGCCCTGAGGATTCAAGACTGGAAGGTTGCTGGGGTTGGCACACACACACAAACACAGTCACACACACACATAAATATAGTCACACATGCACACACACACATATAAACAAACACAGTCACACATAAATATAGTTACACATGCACATACACACATAAACAGTCACACACAGACACACACATAGATATAGTCACACACACAGACACACACATAGACATAGTCACACACACATAAACATGATCACAGACACACAGACACACAAAACAAACACACTTACACACACACACACACACACATACAACACACCATATTAGATAAGTAGGGTTTCCTGGACTTCTTTTCTATTTATAATTTATTTTCTTACTACAAGCAAATATTCACTTTGTATTTCACATGTCCCGTCCACCTGAACTCTGTACTGGATCCTCTGCATGCTCTCCAGAGGGCCTCTAATGCTCACATCTCAATTTCCACATTCGTTTTGTTGTTCTTACCGTTACTGTGTGGTGCTGAGGATCAAACAAAGGGCCTCACATACACTAGTAAGTGCTTTACCTCCAAGTTAGAGGCCTGAGAACCTTTCCTAAGCGACAAAATATGAATATGAAAATATCCTCTATTTGTGGGGTAGCTGTACATAGCAGAAGACAGTACCGCTTGCTAACAGAGACTCATCCAGTGGCAAGTCTCGTTATTAGTACTAGTATTAGTGTTAATTTAATAGCAATATTAGCATAGAATATATAATATTCCTAATAATATGAGAAGTAGGAGAAAAAAAAAGGAGATTAATATTTCAATGTCACTTTAATTATTTTGTCTACTATTAGTACTTATTCAGAAATAGCCTTCTGAACCAGAAAAAGCACTTTTTGGGGACTTTGTTAGGATTTAGTGTATTTTGGGGGTGACATTCATTAAAAAAAAAAAAAAAGGAGTGTTTTAAAGATGTTTTTGAACGTGTGTGGTTACCGGTCCGAGGCTGCAGTGCCCACGGACACCAGAAGAGGGCATCGGTGTCCTGAAGCCAGAGTTAGAGGTGGTAGTGAGCCCACAACACGGGTGCCAAGAACTGAACTCGGACTCTTCGTAGGAGCACCCAGTGCTCGTAACCACTGAATTATTTCTCCAGACCCAAAGAAAGAAATGTGATGTGTCCTTATGGAGTAGATTAGATACAACACTTACAAAGACTTTAACCGTTACATAGTATACTCCTAATTGTTTCATTAGATGTAATCGACAGGGGCTTTTATTATTTATTTCTGGAGCAGATCCCTCCTCCTCCTCCCTGCCTGCCAGCGCTCCGGATCCTGCAGGACAGACGGGGGCCTTACCTGGGAGGTCGCTGTTCACCACCCCTGCTTCTGCTCCACCGCAGCACTTGAACCCTTGGCTCACCATCTCCCCGCCACAGCACTGCTGCCGGTACCCGTCCCGGAGCTTCCCGGCACAGCACAGCTGGCTCCCGGAGGTGCTGTAAGGCATCCCGCCGCAGCAGGCATCCCCAAAGCCGACCGACGCCCGGGTGCGCTGCTCATCTGGACAGCATATCTCCCCTGTGAGATCAGGATGGCAACAGTTGTCACACGGGTTAAAATACGGCAGCACTCACAACCAGGCTTTAGTGAGAGCGCTTCTCCAGGGCAGGCGACTCCCAACGCTCTAGTGGGGTTGCAGAATTGCAAGGCAGTCCCCAGATTTTTGCATTGAAGATACAGTAACAGGTGCGTTTATCACATCCATCTGTGTGGTTCCTTTCCTGTCAGTCAGTCTTCTTACCCTGCAAGGCGTGTCTGACCAACACGATTTTGTGCTAGGGGACGTTGATAGCTATGGTTAACAATGCCGCCCACAAGCCACAGCTTAGATGTGCCTGCCAGGGTAGCGTGGTGTCTACTATTTTCCTGTCATCTTTACATGCACAGGATTGTAAATGCCTGTATGAAATCCAAGAACCACAAAGAAGAAGAAGAAGAAGAAGAAGAAGAAGAAGAAGAAGAAGAAGAAAAACACATGGTATTTATTTTCCTGAGACAATTTGTTTCATAAAATTATCTCCAGTTTCACCCATCTCGTTCAAACAATGTGATTTTTGTCCTTTTTATGATAGAAAAAAAAATCCATTGTGAAGGTCTCACGCTTTCCTCAACTCACTCTTTCTGCTGCTGGTAATCAAGGGTGATTCTGTGACTCAGCTCCTGTGAACAGCACTAAACACAGCATGCAGGCGCCTCTGTGGTGTGCTTTCTGGAAGTCTTCCGGGTAAAGGGGTAGCTGGGTCATACGGAAGACCTGTCCTCAGATTTCTGAGGAACCTCCCTCTTGACTTGACTCCTATATTAGATTTCACCGGCAGTACAGAATGGTTCCCTTGTGTCCATTTCCTCATCAGCATTTGCTGCTATTTGTGTTCTGGAATGATAGAATCTCAGTGTTGTTTTAGTTTGCATTTCTCTGGTGCCTAGTGAGGTTGAAATTTATTTTTTTCATACTTATGAAAAATTGCAAGCCTGGTGCGGTGGCATATGCCTACAATCCCAGCACTCGGGGAGGCAGAGGCAGGTGGATCTCTGTGAGTTCCAGGCCAGCCTGGTTTACAAAGTGAGTCCAGGACAGCAAGGCTACACAGAGAAATCCTGTGAAGAAAGAAAGAAAAGAAAAGAAAGAAAGAAAGAAAGAAAGAAAGAAAGAAAGAAAGAGACAGAAAAGAAACAGACAACCCCAAACAAATCCCAAAAAAAAAACTGCATAGTTTTATTTCACTGGGGATCATCTGCTGATTTCATTAACTCATTTATTATGCTGTTTGAATTATTATTATTTGAGTTCTTTGTTTTTTCCTAGATATTAATCCTCTGTTAAACCTATACCTAGTGATGAACTCTGCCATTTGGCTGGATGTTTTTACTCAACTGTTTCCTTTATTATGTAGAAACCTGTTCATTTTTTAAATCCCCTTTGTCACTTGTTATCCTAGTTCTCTAAGTGACTAGACAGCTGTTCAGAAGTCCTTGCTAATGCCAATGTCTTGAATTGTTTTCTCGACTGAGAAACTTATTTCTTAATAAGGATATATTTACTTAACCAAACAAAATGCTCAAAATGGGAAGCATAATTAAGTGCGTGGAAGTAAAATATTCGATTTAGCGGAGCCCATTCACAATTTGCAGAGCTGTGAGAGGTAACAAGTCTCCCCACAGTGCTTACATACACAATGCCAGCTTGTACGATTCTGAGAATAAAGTTAATATTCAGAAAACTTAAATACAAGAATAAACTAGTCCTTTGCTTGGTGTCTCAAGAACAAAAATTCAAAAATTCCAGGTATAAAGTTTGGCTTCTATTGCCATGAAGAACCACCATGACCACAGCAACTCCTACAAAGGAAAACATTTAGCTGGGCCTGGATTACAGTTCAAAGGTTTTCCACATCTGGGTCTACAGGCAGAATGAAACAAACTGTGTGCCACTAGTCCTGGTTTGGCTTCTGAGATGGAAAAGCCCACCTCCTCCTGATGCACTTCCTCCAACAAAGCCACACCCACTCCAACAAGGCCACACCTCCTACTAGTGCCGCTTAGCACGAACCTAGCATTCAAACACATGAGTTCCTGGGGCCATTCCTATTCAAATCACTGCATTCTACCCCCTGGTCCCCATACACTTCTTGCTATAACATCATGCAGGATGCATTCAGTCCGACTTTAAAAGCCCCCACAGTCTGTAACAGTCTCACACTTGTTTAAAAGTCCAAAGTGTCTTCTGAGATTCATACAATCTCCTAACTGTAATCCCCTATAAAATCAAAATAATAAAGTAGGTCACATACTTTCAACACCCAGTGGCACAAGATATACATTACCATTCCAAAACAGAGGACATGGAGCACAGTGAGGAAATACTGGACCAAAGCAAGACCAAAAGCCAGCTGGGCAAACTCCAGCCCAAACTCTGCATCTCCATGTCTGATGTCAAAGCGCTCTTCAGATCTCCAACTCCTTTCAGCTTTGTTGACTGCAGCACACTTCTTTCCTTTGAGCTGGTTCTACTCCCTGTTAGCAGCTCTCCTCAGCAGGTGTCCCACAGCTTTGGGGTCTCCAGCATTTTGGGGGTTTCCAAGGCAATCCCGCCTCCATCTTCACAGCTTCACACAATGGCTTTTCTGTGTTTCTGTGCAGAGACACCCTTGGCACACGCCTGGCTTCATGGAGGGAGATGCCGTAACCTTTCTCTTCTATCCTTGAAAAAAGCACATGACTGCAGTGGCTGAAGCTCTCACGTTCTGCTGCTTGCTGGGCTGAAGCATGGCCTCTTTGTTCAATTACACCTTCACCAGCTTCCTAGTTTCAATTGTCACCTTTACTGTAGACAAGGTTGGCGTAGCACTCTGAATTCCACTTGCCTCTGCTTTCCCATTGCTGTTCTTTAATTCCTAATTCCTCTTCACAAATTGGAAGTTTAGCTGGGTGGGATCTTGCCCTGAGGTCATTACTCTCTTTATTCCATTTAACTTCAAGCTTTTCTTCTTCTCCTTCTCCTTTTTTGTTTGTTTGTTTTTCCAGACAGGGTTTCTCTGTGTAGCCTTGGCTGTCCTGGACTCACTTTGTAGACCAGGCTGGCCTGGAACTCACAGAGATCCACCTGCTTCTGCCTCCAAGAGTGTTGGGATTAAAGGCGTGTGCTACGGAGTCTGGCGAGGATTTTCTTTAATGTGTTTATCTCCTTAAACACAGGACTTAGTTCCATTGTACTTCCTGGAGCCCCTTTTCTCCTACAATTGTACATTTTTTTAGTTTTAGTTGCTCAGCTTGTTCCTTTTCATTGTGAATATACATAAGCTTGTCCACTAGTGACCAAGCAACATGCTCAGTATTAGGGTGTGTGGAAATTTCCTCTGCCAAAGCTGTTAATCCTTAACTCTTCAATCTAGCCTCAGGCAGACTTTTTTTTTTTTTGACAAGGGCATAAAACAGCCACATTCTTTGCCAAACACAACAGTCTCTAGGCCACATACTATATTCTGCTCCTCCAAAATCTCCTGAGCCAGGGCCGCACAGTTCAAACCACACTCAGCACCACTGTTTCTACACTCCTGTGATTAGGCCCATTAATCCAAGCTTAAAACATTCAACTGCTTTTCTAATGCCAAGTTCCAAAGTTCACATTTCTCCAAATAGAAGCATGATCAGGCCTATCACAGCAATACCCCACTCCTGGCACCAACTTCTGTCTTAGTCAGGGTTTCTATTGCTGTGCAGAGACTTTTTGACGACAGAAACTCTGGTAAAGGAAAACATTTAATTGGGGCTGGCTTACAGTTTCAGGGATTTAGTCCACTGTCATCATGGCGGGAAACATGGCAGCGTGCAGGCAGATATGGTGCTGCGGAGGGAGCTGAGAGTTCTACATGTGGGCTCACAGGCATCAGAAATAGAATTGTGCGCCACTAGGGCTGATTTGAGCTTCTGAGACCTCAAAGACCACCCTCTGGTGATGCACTTCCTGCAACAAGGCCACACCCACTCCAACGAAGCCACGCCTCCTAATACTGCTACTCCCTTTGGATCTAACAAACACGTGAGTCTACAAAGGTCATTCCTTTCTTCATTTTTTTTTGTTTCATTTTGTTTTGTTTTCTGAAACAGGGTTTCTCTGTGTAGCCTTGGCTGTTCTTGACTTGCTTTGTAGACCAGGCTGGCCTGGAACTCACAGAGATCATCCTGCCGCTGCCTCCCCTAGTGCTGGGATTACAGGCGTGTGCTTGGTTTATAGAGGCCATTTAATTCAAACCACGACATCAGGTTTAGTGTAGCTGGCTTTCTGCTGTTTTGGTTTTCGGGTAGCCGTTTTTCCATGTATAGGGAACTTAAAGAATTTATAAACTGCTTGTCTTGAGGATATCTCAGAAATGGCTGACAGCGTTTGGCGGACCTACACCATGTTCGTCAGCCCCTCCTTACTTCCCATGACACAAACTGGTTGGCTTCGTTTGTGCTTCCTGAAATTTGACTTCCTCCTCTCTTGCTCGTTCCTTCTCTTTATCGTGAAGGAACCTTCAACAGCTCATTCCCATTTCCTGTCTTGCCCCTTCTAGGCATTCTCTTCCCCTGGACCATATTCCTTGGCTACATTTGCAAGGTGTATGAGTACAGTGGCCTTGCCAAGTAGTACGGTGACTTGAACACATGGCCCAGAGGCTGTATAATATAAGAAATAAGTCACCAATCCCTAATAAGGAAAGGCCCACGTTCCATGAGAATGAGGGAGCTCAAGGTCTTGAATGTCCTTGTTCTCTGTCATTTAGTTCATTTTCCCATGAGACCTTCAGTGAAGTTACAGTAAAACTGTGGGACAGTAGCTGCTTATGTTTAGAGACACAGTAGAAAAATAAGACAAGAATTCATAGTATCCACCGGGTTCTTCCTGTCCAAATTTGTCCCTTAAAAGACTATGCTGCTAGATGACAGTAACAAATGGCTAGAAGTATACACTTACCAAGACTGAATTTCAAAATACAGAAAATCTAAAGAGATGCTGCAATTCATAACAAGAGTAT